CAAATGTCGATTCTTAGTTTATGTATTGTTATTATATAGCATTTAATTAATGTTTATTGATGGATATACAAGTTGAAGTAGCCACAACAATTATGAAATAAAATAATAATGGTAACAAAATTTGTCCCCCTTAAAATTGAGGTTGTTCCACCCATGGATATAAACCCCAATATACATCACCTACATCATTAACAATGTATGTTCTCAACATAAATGATGTTGCATGATGTTGCCGATAATGTCAACGTATGTCATTTCTCATAAAGTTAATGCACATTGACGACGCTCGTTCACTTTATCTCCCGCCATTGCCACCAATGCTGACATGGTGACATACATAAATGATGCATGTCGACGGCACAAATGTCAATTCTTAGTTAAGTATGTATTTATGTATAGTTATTGTATAGCATTTATCAGTAATTAATGTTTATTGATAGATATACAAGTTGAAGTAGTCTATATTTTTATATTAAAATTGATGTATTCATAAAAGAAAGTCCCGTGTATTATTATTATTTTTATATATATTTAGGTTAATCAAGATAACTTCACACACGAATCATATACATAAACTTCAAACTTAAAATTTTTTAGTTGATAACTAAATTATTTAATCAACCTAATAACCTAATTTTAATCAGACACTTCTTTTTAAATATCAAAATTTTTAGAAATCTAAAAAAAAAGGGGAGGGCTAAAAAGTTGGATCAGAAAAGTGATATTTTTATAGTCAGAGACGATGAACCGAAAATAGTTGCAAATGTCAGTGTCATAAATTTGTACAATATTAAAATCATTTATTTTATGTTTTGAATTTTGGTCGGCATTTATCTCTGTTTTTTGGATTAAAATAATATTTTCATAAAATTGAATTTACTATATTTAATAATAATTAATGATAAATGTTATTTCTGGATTGCGGGCACGCGTGCGAAGTTAGAGTAGCACGTGTGACTGTGTGAGATTGGCCCCCCCGACATGAGCGTCAGAGATTAGACACCAAGCGAGTCCCACTTGGTGCGCCCGTGGGAAAATCGGTAGCTGGGAGAGCGAATCGTTAGGGAGAACGAATTGGAAAATAATAAATGGGCCCAACCTCAATGACCGCGACCCAGAATTCGTCGTATTAAACCGGCCGGTTCAGTTGAGATAGCCAACGCCCCCATATATATATATATATATATATTCTATGTTCTAATTAGTTAATTCAAATTGAGGGACGGATGTATTTTGAAAATTAGTTTTTTAAAAATTATTTGATTTGAAATAAAATGAATATAGAGATTTTTAAATTATTTTTGTTTGATTTAAAGAAAAAAAAATAGAAAGTAAAATTTTGATGTATTTAAATATCATTAAATTTGACCGAGTTCGAAATACATTGTAAATTATTTGTCATTGTCGTCGCCCTCATTAACTGTCGCCACTTGATCCGACCATCTGCCGATAAAAATATCATTAATATTAACTTCCTAAGTACTATATATGCTCCAAAAAATCCTCATAATTCTAGCCAACTACAACTAGGGGTGTGCATTTGATGAATTTGGATTATTTAGTTCATGAGTTAGATAAATCAATTGATTTTAATTATGAAATTTAAGAAACCTTTTTCGTTACTTCATTTTTCAGACAACAACCAGTATTTTATTTGGCTACTGTTTGCTAATTATTTTTCAAAAATTTAAGTAGTAAAAAGTTACTTTTACAATAAAAATAATAACTTTTCCTCATAACAACTTTACAATCAACTTCATTAAACACTGCAAGCTGCAGCCATCCCAAACAGACTCTTAGAGTTCGTTTGGGACGACTTTATTGTTGTTTCTTAAAAAAAGCTTTTTAATATAAAAATTTTAAATTTTGTGCTAAAAAATACTTTAAAAAATAACAAAATAGCCGTCCCAAACAAAGCCTTAGTTATATCTTTAGTCATACATGAATTAATTATAAATAGAAAAACAATTAAATATAAAAGGTATGAAAAATAAGTAATTTCTCATTAATTAATTTTGCTCCTATATCCCTATTTACTTATCTCCACAAAAAGGAAGCAAATATGATATACAAATATTGGTAAATATTTCTATATTTCTACAAAAGTAATGCAAGAAAACATCAGAGCTTAGCTTAATGAGAAATCATTGAAAAAGTAGAGACATTCTTAAGACAAAATGTCGGCAAGAGAATAAATTAATCGATTGAGATCTACTGTTTATTTCTCATATCTATTAAAGAAATATTTTTGTAAAGATAGAAACGATTTTTTATTAAAAAAAAAGTAATAAGTCATTTTCTGATAATCTCACTAAATCTAAAATGTCCGATTTGCAGTTGAGATTATAGACATCATATAAGCTAAGAATGACATCCACTTAGAGAGATATTCCTCTTTACTTTTGGAATTTAAGGATTCAGTTATATATTATTTTAAGAAGGATTAAATATTAATTTTAGTTATATAATTTAGATGACTAAAAATAATAGTATTTCCACATTTATTATGTGGTAGACATAATTTGTGATGAATTTTGTTATTAGTTATAAGAGATAGATTTCGTTTGAGACAGCTTTCTTATTGCTTTGATTTTCAAGTCATAATCATCATTTATGTTTGGCATTTACTTTTTTGCCAGGCTAAGGCGACATGTTGTCTGTCCTTCAAAGCTCTGGGTTCCACGGCTTCTGCAGTCTACCAGGCCAAGGTGCCGCTTGTCTGTCCTCCACTGCTGATTGCGATTTGCACTCTGCTCGCACACTTCAAACTCGTCATTCAAAACTCATCTGACGTCAGTAGTTCACACAGCTCATCCCCGGGTTCAAGAGTCGGGCCTAGGGCAACCCGTAACCCACGCGGGTTGGGTCCGAGTTGGATTTCCTGATCAGTTTGTAAAAATAGATTGAGTTAGGGTCAACTCGTTTGTACCTGAGTCAATCCGACTTCGACACGAACCTGACCCATGGATCTGTTTTGATACCCTTACTATTCAAGTTGTAAAAAAGACTCTTTGTCACAAACAATTATGAAAGTAGTAAGAAAACAATAACTAAATAAATTGTAATTGTTGTATGAAAAATAAAGCAACTAGAAAAATGTCCCATATAGACTCTAAATCTTTAAATTATTTTTCAAAAGATGTGTCATTAATGGTTTGATTGGGGCATCTTTAGCTCTTTATAAAGATGTTTGTGAAGCCATTGTGGGAAAAATTATATATTTTTTAATCTATTGTGAATATTATAAACATCTTACTCACAACTCCTACAATTTAATAATTTGATTATAAAAAATAACTTACCACCTCAATTTTTTTTTGTAAAACATCATAAAAGCAATTATCAAACGAAAAGCTATCATAAAGCTGCCCACAATAGGCTCTAAACAGTAATATTTAGCTTCAAGTAATTTACAACAGCCCATGTTAGTTATAATTTATAAAGAAATAGATGATTGTAAAAATACAATTAATATTATTTTAATAACAAAAGTTTTAATGGTAATGTTTTACTACTCAAATAACACTGCCGTTGTCAGGTCCCAAGTCCTGGATGAGAAAAGTGGAGGGCTGCGTTAGGTAGTCGACAGCCAGCGTAAAACTTGTCGAATAGTCATGACATGAATTCTTTAATGACAAAAAAGGATTCATATAGCCTATCCCACGGAGTGGGATAAAAGCTTGATGTTGCTGTTGTTGTTGTTGCTGCTGCTTTACTACCCAAATAATTTGCACTCACAAAGTATTGTTTTCATGATTTCCATGTCAAAATGTGAAGTGTGTATTCAATACAAAACATTAATTTAAATTAAATTTATTTGAAGTGTACATATAAATATATAGAAAATCAATTTAAAGATAAGCCGGCCCAATTCAAGCTAAGCTTTAGTTAAGGATATCTTTCTTATTGTTTTCTAAAGTAGCTTTTAGTACAAAAAATAGCTTTAAGAAGCAGTAA